CTTGAATCATAAGAGCTATTTGCCATTGTTTTAATTTAATCATATCAGTACCATCGGGAATAATATCTGGTTTGACATGATCAAACCATGAACGATATTTAAATACAATAGAAGGATATTTTAATAGAATAGAATCATAAAACCATTCCGATGGTATATTATCCATTCGATAATTATGATTTTCATAGACTAAACAATGAGTATTAAAATAATTAATATTTTATTTCATTTTTTTTCCTTAATAAATTTTACCTATTTCAATAGCTTTATTAATAGCAAATAGTCGAGCTTCATCTAATGTTAAAGTTTTTTCTTTATTATGATTAAGAAGACCTTCAACAATTTGTTTTTGTTCATAATTTGATAATAGTGGAATATTTGCATGAGTTAAATGAATAAATGAAGATGATGTTTGTTGATCATTAGATGATGGTATATATTCATATTCTATTTCATTATCATTATTTGTTTTTTTTTGTTTGTTTATTAGTATGTATAAATGATGATGAAATTTTATTTTCATTTGAAGCGGATACTATTGATTGATTTAATCTTGTTCTTATTGAATAAGTAATATTGTTATTTGATGTCTAAAATTATGTTTTATTATTATAAAATATCTTTTCTTATTTCATCTTTCAAAGATTTGATTTTGATGACTGTCTAAATTAATCCAAAAAGGTTTTTATTTTAATATTAGATGAATATAGTTAGATTTACAAGAACATTAGAATTAATTGTCAAGAATTCTTAAAATCTGCTTATAATAATTTCGAACATCTTGATGAAATTAGCAAAAATCTAAAAGAGCTCGTCCCCATGAGCTCATTTATAGTCGCTTTACTAGTTTCTCGATTTAGTTTTAGGTACATACTGAAATACCAAAAAATAGTATTTCGATGTGAAATCTTATCCATAAAATTTCAATTTAAAAGAATGTTTCTTTGTCAAGTGAAGGAATATTCTTTTCGGCTGAAACTTTTAGGATATTCTACTAATTATTCGAACTATTTATAGGTGAAATTTCACATCGAAATACTGTTTTTGTTTTTATGTTTCGGCATATAACTGAACCTAGGTCGAACATTCAGTACAACGATCATAACTTATCTTCAAAGATCCATGGGTATGAAAGTCTTCTACTAAACACATCAAGATGTCCTTGTAGGCTCGATATAAACTCAAACAGCACGTATCAGTTCGGGTGGTTCTATTGTGAGCGATGCCGGAACAAAAGTCATTGAAACTACGAGCAACCAACACTAAAGATCACAGCTAAATGCTCTATGGTTTTAGACGAATTATCTTAAATAATATAAATTTTTTTACGGGTACTAGACACTGTTTGAGTTAGGCATCTTTTTAATTTTTTGGCCTTCGAATAAGCAAATCAAGTTTCGAAGGTACCTTTGTGAATCGAGCTATCAGAAATCAGCAGAACAAAATTTTTTTTGTTTGAAACAAAAAAAAAAGTCATTCTAAAGAGTGTATAGTATACATGAAAAAGTTGATTCGAGAAAGGCACGATTCATTATTTCTATTGCGTAAATTTGATTTAATATTTAAAGATAATTTTTGTACTCATAAAGGAACCTCACCGAGTGATTAAAACATATTTTGTCCATAGTAGGACGTGGTGAGACTAGAAAAATTCAAAAAGAATAAGTTCCCATAGGTCTTCCTTTCAGAGCTATGACTGGTTCACTGAGTTTTCGGCCCATGGCAATGTATTTAGAAAAAAATCGAATGACGAAATTTTCCCCATAGTGTAGATCCCATGGTCCTTAGTGTGCGCTAAAAGTTTCAACGAAAACGAATCTTTCTTTCTCGAAATAATGAATATATAAGAAAAACCATTATCTCGAGAAAGAAAGATCCATTTTCGTTGAAACTTTTAGCGTACACTAAGGACCATGGACCGAAAGCCCAGTGAACCAGTCATAGCTCTGAAAGGAAGACCTATGGAAACTTATCTTTTTGAGCTTTTTCTAGTCTCATCAGGTTCTAGCTATAGACAAAATATCACGTCAGAAGCTTTTAATCACTTGGTGAGGTTCCCTCATCAGTAGATAGATACTACTTCAGACTATACAATAGTCACAAAAGAGTGTATACCCTTAAGGAAAGATACCCGAAAAAAAAAAAGAAAGTAATATCCATCGACTGAATAAACCAAAAGGCTACTATTTTTAATTGTTAAGAGTTAGATGAAAAGAGTGAATTCTAAGAAAAAAGATTTTGAAAAACTTACTGATAAATTTGATATATTCTTATCTTGTTCGTTTATTTTCAAAGCAGATTTCGGTTTTCGACCTCGTTTCTTCTTTATTGGTTGTTCATCTTCCTTTTTATTATTATCCGATTGTATTGTTTCATTTTGAATTTGAATTGATGGTTGAGAAGATTTTTCTATAGTATTTGTTCCATCAGGTAATTCTGAAGAAAGTGATGATACCGAAGGTATTCGATTAGGACGTTTATTTGATATTGTCTTAAAAAAAAAACAAAAAAGCAAAAATTTTTGTAAATTTCATTTCAATAAATCAAAAAATTTACTTCTAAATCATCATTTTTATCAATAGAAGCTTTTCGACGATGTGCACCTAATGTATTAAATACACGTAGAAAAAAACAAAAACATAATTATTTCTATAAAATTTTTCATACTATTCTTTGGTTTTTTTGGATTAACTTGTGCATCATTTAATAAATCACTAAATTGTTTAATACGTTCATCTTTTGTCATTGTTAATGCTTGATCTGCTAATTCGATAGCTTCATCCCTAAAATCAATTATTGAAAAACAAGATCATTTAAAGATCGATATAAAAATATTCTACCATTGTACACGTTTTTTCATTGAAACTTTTAATTGATATCGATTAGCTAATTCTAATTTTTCTGATTTTGTTGAAGCCTAACTATGAAAAATGATTTAATATGAAAATATAAAAACAAAAAAAAAAAAAAGGAAACTAATAAATCTACTTGTCGAACGGCTGTTTCAGCATTTTGAATAAAATTATTTAAGCCAGCATATTTTAATAATGAACGAGTTGATAACCATGCATATTCAAGATATTTTCCATAGAAATAAACAAAAAATTGTCGTTTTGTTTTATTATTTGAATCTATAAAGAAAATTTAAATTTAATTTTCTTTCTATTGAAATAGAAAATTTGTACGATCATAATTTTATTTGTATGTTTACAGTACCGACTAAAGATGTCCGGGAACAAAATTTTTTTATCACAATCTATTTCAAAATTTATTCGTATCACATTTAATTTGTTTTGTATACCTATATTGAGATCAATTTTTCCTCTGATCAATAGGAAGATTCATTTTTAATTGATTTGTATCCATTTTTAGATAAAATTAACCTCGATTGTTAAGTATTAGTTTAAAGTTGAATTTCTATTCTGTGAGGTAAATGGATTCACCAATTATCATCTAAAGAAGTATTTGATGGTTATATATAACTGTCGGGATTCAGCAAAAAAATTGATATTATTTGTTTTGTGAAGATCTAATGCAGTTATACAGAAGAGAGGATACATGATTTCTTTTAATGTTCGCGTCTATTCATCATTAACTTTCAGTCATCATCACGAAGACTTTTCGGATTCAGTAAAGGCTATACCAATAAAACTTTCGAAAATCTTTTCTTCAACATTGGCTATGGTTTATTAATAAGCAGTGAAGGCGACTATAAGGATTTGACCCCACAAGGGAATGTATGCAGGTTTGTAGGGGAAGACTTCCTCTGTCTAATAGCGTATGTATTATCAAGTTCTATTGAGTACCAAAGTTTTTGATAGATAGTACCA